AGATCCAGGACTGAGGGGGCTTCCAGGCGGGGAGGACGATGTAGACCACGAGTAAAGGCCGACGGGAGACTAGTCTGATTCAGGAATATCATCATCAGTGGTCATACTTGCAGCTGAAAGGCAGGTCCTGTCTGACCTCTGAAACTGTGCAATGCAGGGCCTGGTTAGTGCTGTGATGGGAGACCTCTGGGAACACCAGGTGCCACAGTGGGGCGGCTGCGGCTGTACAGTACCAGTGTCTTGTGGGAGGGGCTAATGGCACATACTAGTGGCCTTGCTTTTGTCAGTGTGCCCCAGGGCAGCTGTGGCTACAGTAGTAGTTTATCATCACTGTGTTTGGAGTCAAAGAATAATGACATGTGAAGAGTCTTTGAGCATTCCAAAGCGCTGTACAAAACCAATGCATTATTATTATCATCAAGCCATGAAACAGACATTAGGACAGCAAGTGAATAGCAATGAACAGACTACAGCTGAAGACACAATGATGACAGATAAAGGAGGAGAGAAGATAATGCTCAGGTTCCTGTACGTCTCCAGCAAAGTGTCCCCAATTGCAGATGAACGGCAATCTATGTTTTTTGACTTTGCATTACTATATCTTTCCCATTGGTATTCCCGGCTTGTCACCGGACGCTGGCGGACTTCCATTGTGTTGACGCATCGTGGCAGGCTCTCCAGATATTATACCCCCCAAAGAGGTCTTCTGGAAAGCTCTGCGGAGACTCCATCTGCACGCAGCACTTTGTAATTCACTTTGGTTCCATTGAGTTGAATAGAATTTCAAATGACCCCCGCTTCCTAAAATCAGAGGCAACATCCTTACACAGGAAGCATTTGGCATCAGGTCTTTGAGCATAAATGGAGTGGAACGGCCATCACAAGGACTGGGATTGACTTCAGATGGACTTTTAAATGATGCATAAAGTCAATTAAAACATATTTGATTCCTTCATCTTGTCTGATGATCTGTCCGTCCATCCACACAACACAAAAGGAATAATCTAAGTTCAGTTTTTTTATTCATTCCAATGTTTAACTCATTGACTGCCAGCCGTTTTTGATGATTTCACTGATTGTAAAGGCCCACAGAATGTTATGGGCTATGACTATATGGAATTTTGAACCAGATTCTTTCATCAGCAAAAATAAGTTGGTTTCTAGAAAAAAAATGTCTCCCTTAATCCCCAGTCAAATAGAGGGAAGTTTCTCTGGAAATTCCGTCAATTGCAGTCAATGAGTTAATGGCTTCATAAATGTATGTTTGATGATATTATGAAGTGTGAGAGAGATTCTGTGTCGCACTAATCTCTCTTGTGGATCCATAATGTTTGTGTATGTAGTTTGTTTATGACGCTACGCCGTTGGAACGTCAACAGACAGGAAACACTTAAAAGATATTGAGTTGGATTCTGTTTGATCCATGCATAAGTCACCCAGGGGAAGGTATAGAGCAGGTGTCTCCTACCTTTGTCATCCAGAGAGCTACTTTCCTGGGACGATAAAGGCAGAGAGCTACTCTTTTAAGCAAAAAATTGTGATGATATATTGGTGTGAAAGAGCCTGATAATGGGTACAAACATTAAAAATCTACCACCCTTTTTCCACCCACCAACTATTTTACGTACAGACCCTCAACGATATTCAACCCACTGAATCTTGCAACAAACTTTTCAACACGTCCCCGACTTTCTAGAACTTTTTTTCGGTACAGTTTTGTCCGGTTCAATCCCAGCCCCATCGCGAGGACTAGCAAACATCCCGGCTCCCATTCATCTCGTCCCACCTCTCCCCCCTGACACTTCCCTCTGTACCATTTGCTCTCTTATTAGACGCTGCGCAGTGTTTGAGGTTGGGTGCAGCCCGTCCGAACGTCGCAAAGCTGGGGAAATAGATGGGACCACGGAGCGATATTTCACTGGCAGAGGCTTGACGTTGATGGATGGCGGATCATTAGACATTTGCCAGTTTGCTTGGCCGTGGAGTTATTTTCAGATATAGTGTATGGGGGAGGGAGCTGGAGATGGACAGGAGTTAAAGAAGATTTCAAAGTAGGAAAAGTCAGATTTGGCACAAGTTTGGGTGGGTCTCAATGCCATTTATCTATGGCATGACTATAGATTGCATTGAGACCCACAGAAATTAAGCAATATCATACAATAGGACGTTTGGGGATTGTCAAGTGACTCTTAGTAGTGGACACATGGTGAAAAAGTAAGCATGCTTATCCCAACTTCAATGTTTTACAACGTTGGGCCTCATCAGTCACGGACCTGGGATTGGTTTCAGATCGAACCATGCTAGGATCACTTCCGTCAAAAACATTCAACTCTACCCCTTCTCTCCAAAAGCTCCCATCTCAGTCCTGTACCAATACGATACATAACATTATTCTAATTTGAACTCTTTCCTCTGGTGGTAGCAGTTTTTACCCTTTATACTTGTCTCACCTGTTATTATATACTTAAGCAATTATTTCAATGTATTTCGTTCCATTTCATGTTTTAATCTTATAGTCTCATAATCATTTGGAAGGCCATGAATAATGCATAATATTTCTGTATTTAAATAAACAATGCACAGTGGCTGAGTGGATAGCACTCTCGCCTCTCAGCAAGAAGGTCCTGGGTTCGAATCCCGGTCGGAACGGGATCTTTCTGAGTGGGGTTTGCATGTTCTCCCCGTGCTCACGTAGCTTTCCTCCGAGTACTCCGGTTTCCTCTACCACTAAAAACATGCTCACTAGGTAAAATCCTCCAGCTCTGGTCCTGACCAAGAGCATCAACATCTGGCGATAAGTTCCCGGGCGCTGTTACGGCAACCACTGCTCCTGAGTGTCATCAGGATGGGTCAAATGCAGAGGATGAATTGCCCTTACGGCGATCAATAAAGTGCACCTTTATTTTACCTTCACCTTTACAATCATTTCAGATCAGATGTCTGTATCTGTATTTATCTGTTTGTTGAGATTGTATTGGAAGCACTTTTATTTATTAATTCAACCATTATTAATTCGTTTGATCTATCTTCTACAGTATATAACAATCAAAAATCTCAATTCAATTTATTTTTGTATAGCCCTAAATCACAGCAGTTGTTATCTCGGAGGACTTTACAAAGATGTTTATTTGCCAACAGCAGAACAGAGACTCAAAAAGTGCAAACACAATTCTGATTTGGTGATCTGGGTGATGCATTTCCTCCAACCCCTTTTCAATCCCTGCCTGTGTTTTTGTTTTCCTGGTTCCTATGAAAATTACGTTTGCAGGTTATGAAATAGATATTTAATTCAGTCATTCACACAGAGATTGGTCTGAAAGAGGCAGAAACCAATGTCCATAAATGTGGATAAAGTCCATAAATGTCGCTGAATCTCAAGTGTCCTGGACCCTCACTTAGACCCTACTGTATCGGCAAAGACCAACTCTAAAATATGAAGGTTATGGAGGATTAGCTGATCGATTGCTTCTGTCTTGATTTACCCGGAAATCATGCATGACATTTCAAGCAGCAAAGAAAAATGCAACGAATTTTTGGACACTGCATTTTGAAACATTGAATTTTTTTATACTGAATTTTAAAACATTGAATTTTTTATACTGAATTTTAAAACAATGCATTTTTTGACACTGAATTTTAAAACACTGAATATTTTTTTGTTACAATTTATTGAATTCAAAAGCGAAAAAAAGTGTTGATAATAAAAACACAAAACAACCTTCATACTAAAAACTCAGTGGGAGAGAATGAGAAACCTCGGGGAGAACCACGCTGAGAGAGGGAACCGCTCAATCATGGCTAAAACAAGTCTTGTTTGAAATAGCTTTACATGAACAGATGGAGATGAGGCTAATTACAATGAGAAAACAGCCCTTGTTTGTTTCAGTCGCTGGATTATTAGTAATTAACCAAGAACAACAGAGAGATACATGGATATAATTGTGGCGTTTCCGTAACACTGTCCTTTTCTGTTTAAACCCAGAGCTTTGTGAAGACATGACGTCGTGAGTTCATCCATCACTCCACAGTCGATGATCATCTGTTGTTTTTGTTAATCCTCTTTGAGAAGTACTTTGGAAAGTCCTGAAAGACGCCAAATTAGACCAAAACAGTCGTGTATTGTTTAGCGCTGGTTTAGATTTTGTGTTTCTGCTGCAGAATTACGATCACAGATTTTTAGCCACATTTTGTTCCGAAAGGCCATTCACCTCTTTTGGATTTCTGGCAATATAAGTAATAATTATGTTCAAATGTTCAATGTTATTATCAAAATATCATAAATTATCAATTTTCAACAATATTTTTTATGTGTTTGATTGTTTTTTTTCTTCCTTGAAATAAATATAAAGTTTTTCTTCATCAACTGAAATGTTTTACTTATTCATGTGTTTGTTTGAGCAAAGTCTAACTGCATTCCCACGAATAATAACAGTCCTGGAGATCATTGAAAATCTGCTTTAATACGTCAAAACTAGAATCTACAGTATATACAAGAAAACAAAAAAGTCTCTCTCTCTCTGTCCTCACCCGTCTCTCTCTCTCTGTGTCCTCAGATGTCTCTCTCTCTCTCTCTCTCTCTGTGTCCTCAGATGTGTCTCTCTCTCTCTCTCTCTCTCTCTGTGTCCTCAGATGTCTCTCTCTCTCTCTCTCTACTCAGATGTTTCACCCGTCTCTCCCTCTCTGTCCTTATCTTATCTCCCTCACTTATATCCCTCCCTCTCTCTCCGTCTCACCTGTCTTACCCGTCTTTCTCTCTCTCGTTCCTCAAATGTCTCATCGATCTCTCTCTGTCTCTGTCCTCAGACATCTCACTTATCTATCTCTCCCTCTGTCCTCAAATGTCTCACCCGTCTCCCCCTCTCTCTCACACTGTCCTCAAATGTCTCACCAGTTTCACCTGTCTTACCCGTCTTTCTCTCTCTCGTTCCTCAGATGTCTCATCCGTCTCTCTCTCTGTCCTCAGATGTCTCACCCGTCTCCCCCTCTCTCTCTGTCCTCAGTGATGGTCCTCCTGATCGTGATGATGCGTCGAAGGCAAAAGGAGCCCCTGATCCTGGACGAGGAGCGAGACATCCGCGAGAACATCGTCCGCTACGACGACGAAGGCGGCGGCGAGGAGGACACCGAGGCCTTCGACATGGTCACCCTCCGCAACCTCAACGCCATGAGGGACCCCAGCGTCCGCCGCGACGTCACCCCGGACACGCCCACCTTCTTCCACTACCCACCGCCCCCTCGTCCCGCCTACAAAACCCTCCCGGACAACGTGGTCTTCCGGGAGTTCATCTGGGACCGGCTCAAAGACGCCGACGTGGACGCCTCCGCTCCGCCGTACGATTCGCTGCAGACGTACGCGTTTGAAGGCAACGGTTCGGTGGCGGAATCGCTGAGTTCGTTGGAATCTTTGAGCACGGACTCGGACCAGAACTATGACTATCTCAGCAACTGGGGACCGCGCTTCAAAAAGCTAGCCGACCTTTACGGCAACAGCGAGGGAGTGGGGATTTTCTCGTAGCGCCGTCGCGATCTTTCTATTCTCCTCGGACTCCTCGTCAAAGAACAAACACACTTATTTATTGTCGAAACCGAAAACGTTACGTCTGCCTTGGAGCATTGCGGGGGGAGATTCAAAGACAACACAAGAGATTGAAAGGAAAGGACTCGGACTTCAAAAGCTTGTGGGTTTGTTTACCTTCCCCCGAATGGATTTTTCCCAAAGTGTGCCATGGCGAGTTTGACACAGACTTCAAAAGTGGAGGAAGCCTTGTCTGCGAAAGACTTTAAAGGTTCCAGATTTCAGGCTGCGCGCCAACCATTGACTGCTGAATGAATTTGTGTCAGAGGTATTTTCCGGGAAGACGGGGAGGAGGGAAGGCACCTTGCATCTCTGCTTCCCGATGCATTCTTTTGCTATCTTTGTGCTCTGGAAGAAAAGAAAAAAAAAAGTTTGTCATAACTTAGCTGCGTCTCCTACAGCTTATCACCGTTCGTACCTGCAACAGTTTATATATTAACGATTTGTCTTTCTTTTGCTTTGGCGAGATCGAGCTTGGGAAAAACACACACCTCATTACTCAAGGACTACTTTTGGAAAAAACCACTCATTTTTCAGTCTTTGCGCTAAAGTCATGACGAGACGATAAGTACGGCGGACGCAAAAACAAAGAGATCACTTTCCTAACTACTTTTTTTAATCTCTCAACGTGAAGTGTGTCTTTTCGTTGTTACTTTCGGCTGCCAAGAAGTATGAAATCTGAGCTATGGAAATGTCAGGACTCGCTTGTGATGCTCGGCGCGAGAGAGACGGGATGGAGGTACGCTTCGTTGAAGGTCAAAACGACTCAATTGCCAGATTAATGGCAAGTAGACTGTAGAAAAATATAATCATTTGTTTCTGGAGTGACAGTGCTTAACCGGGTGAAGTGGCAGTTTGTGCGTAAAAGACTTTTGCTTCTGTAGTGGGAGGAGAGCGTGGCGTCCTTCAGAAATGAACTGTGTCATGTTTGCGGTGCGTCTTTTGGTGGTAAAGGACTCTCTCTGTATCATATCATTTTGTGCCAATACTTTGGGCCTTTCTTCTGTTACGATTGGGCGCTGACGTCGTACAGTCGGTAGTTTATTATTTATTTTGACGAAGCAGAATTGTGCAGATGTTTTTATCCTTTTGCTGACGTTAAATAAACTGATTTCTGTTAATTCATTCACGAGTGGTGTTTTTTTGTATGTGTTTAGCCGAGCTCCCATGAACTTTGACATATCCTTTCAATGTATGAGAATAGATCTCGCTGGGAGAGGCTCTTTAAAAAGACACAGACCAGGAAAGTTTCTATGCAAAGGCAACTCAAAGTGCTTAAAAACATTCACAAAGGCATTCAAATCATAACTTATCACAGAATACTAAAAAGAATGAAGATAATATTCAGTTGTATGCAGCTAAACAGAATTATTTTAACCTGGATTTGAACCTGGTATTGTTTGAGTAGAAGACTGTTCCACATTTTAGCTGCATAGTAAGTAAGTAATCTTTATTTATATAGAGCATTTGACAAACCAAGGTCACCCCAAAGCGCTTTATAATGTTCCGAGTTAAGATATTTTTCCATTCTCTGCACACAGTGAAGATGTGAACACCATTCAATCTCTCATTACATTCAGATTTTTGGTACAGGTTTTTAGCGGTAGAGATAACCGTAGCACCCAGAGGGAATTGGAGCAGACACGGGGAAAACATGCAAACTCCACACATTAAGGCCTGGAGGTGGAATCAAACCCAGGACCTTCTTACCGTGAAGCTCTCTAACCGTGCTGCCTTCAGTGACCTCACACCAAATGTTATGTTCAGGAATAATGAGACAAAGTGAATCTCAGAGAAATCTAAAGTTAAGGCAAGTTTATTCAGCACAGATCAAACTTTATTGATCTCACAGTGAATACATTTAGTTACATTTGGCCTCAAAAACATCACTAAAGCCTAGTGTATAGTCACGCGGAGCTTACGGTGGTAACGTGACGTCATTTGACCAACGCAAGGATCACCGCCAGACCCTTAAGTAGCCTGCCCTGGTCCCTCAAACATTTCTGACTACGTAGCCGCCGCCGCAGAGAAGCTCCACTGTGATTGGTCTGTTGGTGTGTTTTGGACGGAAGCATGTAGCGGCTGCAGGAGCATGGACAAGGCACTTCGGAGCAGACTGCTTCGTGCTTCGATGGAAAAGCAGTTTGGGTTCATGGCTCAGAGCCTGATATACGCGGAGACTGTGGACTGTTCAGTTCTGTTGCATATCTAACATATATCCAACTTATAAAACAGTGCAGTCGTTTCTTCTGCTCTGTTCCTGTCTTTGTTTGAATCGTAGCTTGTTCCATTCCTCCTGCACTTGTAAATAGTTCATGTTTTTTCTCAGATATTTACCACTTATTGTTTTGCTGTTTGTGCACGAATACCCTTTAATAATAACTGTTTCCAACAAGAACAAGACTTTATTCACAGCATCACAGTTAAATGAGTTATGAGTCCAATAACAAGTCCATAGATACACATGTAATAGTCTCAAACAGCTCGGCATGTTTTTGTTCTGAAGAGGAGAAAGAAGCAGCGTAAATGGGACCTCTTTGGTTTTCTCAAGCAACGCCTGTGAGATCGCCATCATGTGGTTGGGTGTGGGATTATACACTAGGCTTAAGGGTCCAACAAGGCAGCTCAAAGTTAAAAGTTAAGTATTATGAAGGTTTTTATCGTCCAACCTAAAACATTTAATTGCTGCTCCTTTTAAATCCACTGTGCCCTCAAATAATCAATATTTATTTGTAGAACGCAACCAAAGGGAACTGTGTGGTTTGACTTAAGGACCTGTATGTATCCTGGTAATAGTCTGTGCAAAAACAGCTTATGTATAAATCAAAATCATTGCATTTTCTCAATCCTGAAGCTTCTAATCCATTCTCAAACTCCTCAAAACCAAAGAAAATCGTCAATTCTTGCAAAAGCAAGAAATCCACAACTGTGATAAGCACACGGCCTTTTACGCCTGATGCTCCTTTGACGAGGTCTTTGTAGTTGAAACCCTAATTGAGACAAAGGGCCGGCAGAGGTGTTTTTGATGAACTCTGGGACTGTTTTCTACGCAGTCAAAGAGACCGTGTTACCAGAGAGTTCAAACAGAAACACACAAACACGGCGCACGAAAGACCTGACCCAGCGCGCGTCGATTGGTGTCAGCGACCGTCTCAAAGTGTGCGACCGACAGGGGGCCGCGTCGTTATCTCTGAGCGAGGATCACGGATGTAGCAGGAAACTGAAAAAAACTGTGTGTGAGGATTAAAACTTCAGATTGGATCATGTAATTTTAAGACAGGGTTATTTTGATTAATAATAATTCATTCCCTCCATAATGGTGATAAACTACTACTATAGCCACAGCTGCCCTGGGGCACACTGACAAGAGCGAGGCAATTATTATCTACCATCAGCCCCTCCCACCACCACCACCAACCGTTCACACACACACCAAACTCATTTTAATGTGGGGACACACAAACAGATCTGACCTCCTCTTTAACCTCTACCTCCTCGGATCGGTCGACGCATCAAAGTCTGGTTGACCTTCCGAGCTAAGGGTAAACTACTACTGCATTATTACTGATCTTTTTCTCTCTGTACTGGGAGAGAATAAGGCCTCACCTCAGTCTCAGAGTAGGAGCTGTGCCCTGGTTCGCTGTGTGTTTGGTGAAGAGGTCTCTAAGGACTCGGGGCTCTATCAATGGATGTCGGGATGTCGGATCACCATGGCAACGGTAAACCTGAGCCTGTTGTTGAGACATGTGGGAGAGCGCTGATTGTTTTGTAACATGTGCAATATTTGTTGAAAGATATGACAGTGTGTATATGATGAAGCCTATGATTCTTTAGTTGGTCTCTGATCTCTCCAGTCTCCCACTATCTGGTCTCATTCTGTACTGGTCCCTCTCTGGTTTCTCTCTGGTCTCTCTCTGGTCTCTCTATGGTCCCTCTCTGGTCCCTCTCTGTTTTCTCTCTGGTCTTTCTATAGGTTCCCTCTGGTCTCTCTCTGTCCTTGGTCTCTGTCTCTAGTCTCTCTGTGGTCTGTCTCTCTGTTCTCTCCATCTGGTTTCTTTCTGGTCACTCTCTCTCTAGTCCAGGGGTGCCCAAACCTTTTGCTTCCAAGGGCCAAAGTAAAAATTTGCCAGTGGGCCGCGGGCCAAATACACCAATATTATGAGTGAAACACAAATAAATGTAGATTTGATCAAGTTCTTTTAAATGCATTAATTATTGTCTATCAGTGCAAATCACAGCTGAATGAATTAAATCAACACAGTCTTAGTGAAGTGGAGACTCCAGGGAAATATGCAGGTTTGAGGAGACTACAGTACGGAAAGATTCCGGCGGGTAATCAGGGGGGAGATTTTCTGTCATGGCTTATTTAAAGGTTAAAATCATATAAAAAACCTCTAAAAGAGAACAGAAACATACATTTTGTGTGCACCATGTGCACTTGTATATTGTAAATAGTAACTGTAACTCTATTTTAAATTTAAATTTATTCCTTAGAAGTGTTTTTTATTCTTTTTTTATTATCTCTGTTGCACTGAGCCAAAGCAATTTCCAAGTCTATTTTCATATATTTATTTTGAACAAAAGTTTTTAACTACATTTGAATCATATTACTTTATCTTAGCTTTTATCAAAAAGGGGAGACATCACTGATCAATAGATCTGGTTTTAGCACACTTTTAAACAATACATTTTAACATTAAGTAATGAATTTGGGAACATAATTGCTAACTGCATTTTCTAAACATGATCAGGTTTTAACTCTGTTTTAACTTAATATTTTTAACATAGGACAAGTATTCTCAATTAGTAGTGAACTGAATATTAAACTAACAAAATCAGACTAGTTAACCATGATTTTTTCCTGGAGTTTTGTTTTGTTTTGCCTAAACACAGTACAACATTTATAAATAATCAAAACAAAGTAACTGTTAAAGAGTCCG